GGTGAAGAGGGTGAAGAGGAAGGGAGAGAGGACAGTCCCCTGTGGGGCCCCAGTGTTGCTGACCACCCTGTCAGGTAATCAACAATCCAGGACACGATGGGGGCCTCCAACTGCATCGCAGCCATCCACCTGCATCGCAGCCATCTTCTCACCCAGTAGAGCCGGACAGATGGTGTTGAAAGCATTGGAGAAGTCAAAGAACATGACTCTCACAGTGCTCGCCGGCTTGTCCAGGTGAGTGTAGATTCTGTTCAGCAGGTAGATGATGCTGTCCTCAACTCCCAGGCGGGGCTGGCAGGTAAACTGTAGTGGATCAGTGAAGGGCCTGACTATAGGCCTTAGCTGCTCCAGGACGAGCCTCTCCAGGGTCTCCATGATGTGGGACGTCAGAGCTATCGGTCTGTAGTCCTGAGGGCCGCTGGGACGTGGCGTCTTTGGAACAGGAACGAGGCAGGACGTCTTCCACAGCACAGGGACCCTCTGGAGGTGCAGGCTGTAGTCTGTCTTTTTTAGTTTTACCCAATATGCCAGTAAACTGTAGCTTTCCCAAAATAATAATTATCTGTTTCTTTTCAGATTACATTTACTGTATAAGTAATGTTTTCAAAAGAAAGTTAACATTTTCCTGGCTGTCTCTTTATTATTGGCTCCCAGGGACCCCAGTCAGTACTCCTGATATGTTCGGTTGAGGGTTAATATGCCTGAAATGTGTACGTGTAATATTTACATTTACATTTACATTTCATTTTTGGACAATGATTTTAACCAATTGTTGTGCTGCCCTTGGCTGTTTTGTGAGGAACAGGAACTGATTATTAAAACATATATTTTTTTAAATATTTATGTTGGTGGTGATTAATAATCTTTCAGTTTTCTAAACAAATAGAAAAAGCCTGGAGGTTTTTGTACAGTGTTGCTGCTTCCTGTGTCACTGTGAGTCTCGAGCACAATAATAAACAGCAGAATCTTCAGTCTTCAGACTGTTCATCTGCAGATACACCTGCTGTCTGTTGTTGTCTCTGGAGATGGTAAACCGGCCTTGAACTGACTGGGAGTAGTATTTGCCACTACTGTCAGTATAGATCCAAGCAACCCACTCCAGTCCTTTTCCAGGAGCCTGTCTGACCCAGTGCATGCCGTAGCTGCTGAATGTGAATCCAGAGGCTGTACAGGTCAATCTGTGAGATTCTCCAGGCCTTTTAACCACTGGTTCAGATTCTGTCAGAGTCTGACCATCAACACCTGTCAAACCAAGAAAGACAGTAATGTCATGTGTTACATTGGTAGAAAATTGAAAATATGTCAAATCAACATCAGTGAAGATCTTCACCTGCCCAGCAGATAGTTAGCAGCAGCAGTCCTGTCCTATAGTCCATCATGTTAAACTGTGTGTCCACTGTTCTCTGTCATCCTCTCTGCAGCCAGATAAGTAGAGGTGGAAGACATCTGAGTTTTGCATTGACTCCTCCTCACAGGGAGGAGAGAGCTGGGTTGGATGTTTTTGTTACTGACCCTTACTTGTAGAACTGAGCAGTGTACTGTGCTCAACTTATCATCAAAACTCAGCTTGGGTCCAGTGTTTAACATTTAGGAGGATCTATTGGCTGAACTGGAATATAATATTAATATGTGTGTTTTCATTAGTGTATAATCACCTAAAACAAAAATAGTTGGGTTTTTCTTCCCTTAGATGCCACTAAATCCCACACATTGGTCCTTTAAGATGATATTTGTGTCATGATAGAAGAACATCATTTCATGCATGAATAAATAAACAGTCGCTCCTTCAGTCTTCTAGCTGTTTATCTTGAAATCTCTTTGAGATGGTGAACTCCAAACTAAATGAACACATGAAGCTGCAGTCACTGCTGATCCAGCACTTCAAATGTTCTATTAGTGTTGTGGTGAAGCGAGCTCACAAAGGGTGTGAGTATAAAACTCTAGTTCAGTCCAGGGTTTGAGTGTCAGTCAGTTGAGATCAGTGAGATAAGCAGATATGAGAGTCTCCTTATAGTGACAGAGGAGAGAGAAAGTTGACACTGACTGCCATCTAGTGTTTTTATAACAGGAACTGCAACATTATTTTTCATGCCAAACATTATAAACATTAATGTGGCTAAGATATGTAGAATTATTTTTTGTTTTTTATTCATTCATGTGTTCAGATCCTTTCTTTAATTCATTTATTTGATTTTGTTCAGTGATTTCAGCAGATTGTTATTCTGTCGTTTGCTATTTTGTGAGGACGTGATAAGACTTTTGTTTGATGTTATTGTTGTTGGTTGATGATGATCTTTCTTAGAGCCTGTCACGAATCCCCGGCTGTGGGGACTGTTTGGGTGTCTTGTGTTGTCTTGTGGTGTTTGTGTCACTCTTCTGGCAGTGCTCCGAGGGGGGCGTCTCTATCTCTGGCTGCTCACACACCTGGCTGAGGTCATCACCACACCTGCTCCTCATCAGTCTTCAGCAGTACTTAAGGAGCAGCCACACATCCAGTCAATGCTGGGTCGTTGTGAAGTATTGAGTATGCTACTGGTTTCCAGCCAGTTATTTATCGTTGCTACCGTTTGTTGCCTGCCTGCCTCTGCCTGCCTGAGCCGTTCTCTTGCCGTCTGTTTTTGTATGCAACTAACCGTGTCTCTCTGCCTCAGGAATCATTCCCAGCCACTCAGCCCACGCCTCCTGTAAGCCAGCCACTGGATCCCCCCCCACTCCAGGTCTACCAGCCAGCCACTCTCTGGATCACCCCCACCTCTGGACTCCCACTCTCGCCTGCCAGCTTCCCCTTTTTTTTTACTATTCACTCGTTGTCTAATAAACCGTTTAAACACAACCTCTTGTCCGATCTGCTTCTGGGTTCCCCTCAGAACCCTGACAGAGCCAGTTTTCACGGCTTAATTAAAAACTATCTATACATTTCACTGCATTGCTTCCCATGAAATTCTGAATTCATTATAAGATCCTGCTGATTACACAGAAAACACTTCATGACCTTGTCTCCAGTTAAACTTCTGATCACTGTCTGTTCCTCATTTCACTTTCCAACCACTCCGATCTTCAAATATTGGCCCTTCATCCCTCGTTCCAACTGCAAAACAAAAGATGACTGCTGTCTGCTGTTTTAGCTCCAGCCCTCTGGAATCATCTTCCCCAATCACTGAAATTATCTTTGGACTGTTTTAAGTAGCTTCTAGAAACCAATCTCTATGGACAAGGCTATTTATAGATCTCCTGCCCTGTCTTTTTTTTGTGTGTGTTTTAGTTTGGTCTCTCTCTTATTGTGCTTAATTTATGTTAAGTTTTCATTTTTTTCATTTTTATTTGTTGTTTGTTTGTGAAAAACTTTGTAACTGTAAAGTACTTTATAAATAACACTTTACTTACTTATATATTGTGTGTGTGTGAAACTGTATATCTTCCTATATATAATTATATATATGTATATATAATTTAGTCTTAAACTATGTTCTTTTTTATTTTAATAATTCATTCATCAATTGCTTTTCATTGTGCAATCCTGTATTTTACTATGACAATTAAATTAAACCTTGAACCAATTACAGTTAAGAACAGTGATACTGTAGAAAGTTAATGTTCTCAGTGGTTGTAAATAGAGGAAGTAGTTTTTGTATGACTCTCCTGTTATTATCTCTCACTGTGTGTCTTCTGGCACAGTAATACACAGCAGAGTCTTCAGGCTGCACATTCTGTCCATTTAGAGTCACTGTGTTACTGGAAGAGTCCAAGGTGACACTGAATTTGTTCGTAAGTGAATCTTTGATGTCCGTATCAGAACTAATCCACTCCAGTTCTTTCCCTGCAGGCTGTCTGATCCAAGCTGTGTAGTGCCTGCTAACAGAATAAGAGACCTGACAGGTGATGGTCAGACGTTGACCTGGCTGCACAGTCACAGAGGCTGGCTGTGTCAACTGTTCACACTTCACACCTGTTAAAAAGAAAATGTTTTGTAACAAATGATCAAGTTATACTGCAAAAGAATAACTGTTGACTTTGACAAATCCAGAGAGACTCACATCCAGCTGCCAACAGCAGCAGCAGAGCTACAGAGAACATGGTTTATGTTGAAACTGACGTGCTGTGAACTCCACTGACAGCCTGATGGGAAGTTTTTATAGCTGAGTAACAAGGAAGGTCACTGAGTTTGCATAGAATCAAACATATGAAGCCTCAATGTTGTTCTAACTGGAGCCAATAGAAGAGTCTGTTGACTGTTATTATATCTGCAGAGTGAAAACATGCCTGGAAATCACCTCTGCTTTACAGATGATTTTTTAAAATATTTTTTGGGCTTTTATGATAGTGACAGCTGAAGACAGACAGGAAAGAGGATGACACACAGCAAAGGGCCGCAGATCGGATTTGAACCCTCTGCAGCAAGGACTCAGCCTCAGTACATGGGTTGCCAGCTGTATCCACTGAGCTAACCAGGCACATATTATATTTTAATTTCAGTACACACTCAACTGTAACATTTTGAAAATTAAACTTTACATTTACACTTAAAGAAACAACTGTAACCTTTGCTATTTTTATAAACTATTAATAGAAGAGTCTGTTATTATATCTGCAGAGTGAAAACATGCCTGGAAATCACCTCTGCTTTACATATGATATTTTAACGTCATTACACACTCAACTGTAAATTTTGAAAATGTCCCTGCATTTACAGAACCGAAACAACTTTAACTTTGCTCTTACTGTAAACTATTACTGTCTAAATGTTGACTATTTTTTTCTATAATTGCACACAATAACCAGGATAATTATTCTTAATATGAATATTACCTATTATAACCTGAATCATGGATAATGGAAAACATATTCATTTAAATCCACATTGCAATAACCATGATGACACACTTTGAATATGACGTGAGCTGTTTTCCTGAAAGAATTAATATACAGTCAGCACCACCTTCATCACATTCATTGTTAACTTCAAACGTACAGTATGAGGATAATAAAAAACAAAATGGCTGTTGTAATATCGCAGCATTTATTTATTCATTAATTTGCTCACTGACTGTACTGATTGTATCTGCTTCAAACAGAAATACAGTGAGAGCAGTGAGAACCATGTAAATAATATGAGAACTGTCTGCAGGTTTGCATTAAAGACATTTAACAGTTTCCATGTTTGCAGATGTTTGAAGACGACTTAGAGCCTCGAGAGGAAAACAGCTGCTCAGGAACTGAAACCTGTGAGACAAAATGCAAAAAACAAAATCTTTTGGTAGTTCATAACTTACTTTTTGTAATTGACACCACATGTTATCTTCATCTGTGTGTTGTAGCAGGAATAAAATAAACAGTCTTAATCAAATATCATGCAGTGTGATTTATATGTTTTTGTTTCTTGTGTTATTGGTTTGTTAAATTATTGTGTTTATTTCTAAATAAAATGTGTAAAGGAACAGGTTTGTTGCCAGCCATGGAGATGTAGCTGCCTTTTATCCCTAAATAACTACAGTATATTGCTTGTTTTATTGCATCAACCTGTCAACATTACTCATGAAATAGAACTTTAAATCCAGTCATACATAAGTGGTAATCAGATGTTTGTGTCAGGGGTCTCAAGCTCAAAGAGGCTTCAACATTCAAGTTCAGTCAGGACCACTTTTGTCAAAATATCTTATATTCCAAGCAGAATTTACATTTGGCGGTATGGCTCTGTTCTGGGACCTCCTTGTCCTTCCGCGTGCCTACGTGGAAAACCTTAAGGCAGGGAGAGCACACCTCCCTGCCCTTCCATGTGCATACATGGAAAAGTTTAAGACAAGGAGAGCGGCAGCAGAGACCCCCGGGTACAGAACAGAGCAAGCATCAATGGCAATCAGAAAATGACATTGATTAATTAGAAACAACATAAAAAGGAGCAGAGATAGGCAGGCAGGCTAAAGCAGCTTAAATAAGGCGCCATGTAGATGTTTGCCAATTGGATGCTTGAGGAAATCAGGTGAGCTGTCAGCTGACTGTGTATGGTATCCAATGGGAAGTTTAGAGGAATCAGCTGATGTATGTTTATGACTAGCTGTGATCATATGATATAGCTGTAACTGACAGCTAAGCCTGACTTCGTGCCCTGCCTGAACTAACGCTATGCTCAATAACTTATATATTTCCATTACTAACATAACAAAATGTAAACAGCAGTTTCTGTACATTTTTATAATCATATTTGTTGTTTCCAGAACAACAAATAAAGCCCTGGAACCTGCTCTCTTGTTCTCAGTTATATTATTGTATTATTGATATCATGTGCAGGGAGGGGGGTGGAGGGCTGGGTAGCCCAGCGGTTTGAGATCTTTGGTCTGTGTCTTCTATTGTTTGATTTCCCTTTGAGGTCATCAATCATGTGACACAGTGCAGGGTCTTTCAGCCCAGTGAGGATGAGACAAGACAGAGTTGTTGTTCACTGATCACAATATCCAGTGTACATGAGCGCTCATGTATCAACAGCAGATCTGAGTGTTAGGGCAATGAGATTGTGTTATACATCACGTCCAATACATGTTGACATGTTAAATGTCAAATGCAGTTTAGTTTGGTAGCAAACTACACTTTGGTCTCAATCACTACTTGTAAGTGTGAGCCGTGCTAAGGTGGATAAATTAAAACACAAGTGCCGACAACGCCACCTAGGTTTTTAGCTGAGGCCTAGGACCTGTTAGGATCACCAAATTAAAGTTAGGGTAAACAGGTTGTTTTATGTCGGGGGAGAGCAGTAAACAGTGTTCTTTTTAAAACAATGAGTACAGCCAGTAGGAGTTGAACACAATTTATTTTAAGATAAGTAAAAACAACTAAAAGCTCTACCTTCAAAGAAACTAAAACAAAGAACAGAAACAACTAAAACCCAGCTAAAATAATGCGGGACGGATGGAGTGGGAGGTCAACAACGGCAGTCGCGGGTCTCTGGTGGCGACCACCTGCTCTTCACCTGGCTCCGCTCTTCGGCAGCCTGTCGAGGGAAACTCAGGGCCAGTCAATGTCCTTTAACAAGGCACAACTTTATATATTACACACTACACAAACACCGGTCTAAAACGGGACTTACGCGGGAGGGAGAAGTTTTACCTTCTCCCAATTATAGCCGCTAGCGGTCGGTGTTTGCTCCGGTGTCTCTTCAGACCTCTTCCAGGCCGATGATCCGCTCTGTCTCTCTGTCTGCTTCCTGCTGTCCGGCCCGTTGTGCCCTCCGTGTCCTCCCTCGTGCCCCGGGTGTCTTCCATAGTGTCCTTTTTATCCAAGAACAGTCACTTCCCTCTCTGGGTCCCAGGTGTAAGTCCTTACGCTTGATTAAGGCATGTCTCCGGTGGGGAAGTAAAACCAACGAAACAAACACACACACCACACTTCAAAATAAAAGCATGCAATAATAAAGACAAAAACACAGCAAATTCAAAGTAAAAGCATGCTTAAATAAAATCAAACTTCCCCCCCGTGACATCAGCATACTGTTATATAAGAACAGGAAGGGCTGCTATGCTTCAAGCTGCTAATTTATTTGCTAATTTCTCTCCACTGACTTTACATGAACATTACTTGTGACACTATATATGTGTTCATATCCATATATGAGAAAACCCAGAAGTGAAGAAGATCACACTGCTGTTTGTTGTTTGTGGAGGTTTTTGTGCAGCTGCTCCACTGTCTTCAGTCACTGTGGTTTCTCGAGCACAGAAGTAAACAGCAGAATCTTCTGCTGTCAGGCTGTTGACCTCGAGGTACTGAGTGCTGCTGGACACATCTTCAGTCATGATGAAACGACTTTGAAAGGAGCTGGAATAGGTAACAGAGCTTGAACCTGAATTAATTGTTCCAATCCACTCCAGAGCTTTCCCTGGCCTCTGTCGAATCCAGGAAAAATAGCCGCTTGTCATGCTATAACCGGATATGATACATAGGGGTGGGCGATATGGGCAAAAAATAATATCTCAATATTTTTTGGGATTTTGGCGATAACGATAATCAGCCGATATCCTTTAAAATGTGATTAGAATTGTCTGAGCTGGACTTGTGTCCACCAAACGCGTTTACAGCGCTGAGAGCGCTCAAAAACTCATTTTCCAAGCGCCCAGCGGTGTTAAAAGTTGAACAGATTTCAACTTGAAGCACTCTGAGCGCTGCGCTAAAAAAAACGTCTCCGCTGACATCTTTTTACCGCTGAAGGCGCTTAGCGCTCTGAACGCTGAAGCCCACGTCTCGGCACTAAATCATCTGAAGTACCGGTAGCTTCAGGGACTGGAGGTGCTTGCATTTTCTCTCTACCATCGCAACGCGCTGCTAAACTGTTGCAAGGAGGATGCTAGCGAGAGGCCCACTAGTTGTGTGACTGAATCCTGCCATGCTGTAGAGAGCGCTGCTGCACCGTGTATTAATGGATGTGAGGAGTTTCCGCGGGCGTTTCATTGTTTTTGTCGAAGTAATTTAAATACTCGATAATGGAAATTTGCACATCGTCAAAACAACAATGACGATATTATCGCAAACGATATATATCGCCCACCTCTAATGATACATGACATCTTCACTGTCTCTCCAGGTCTTTTCACCTCAGAGGGAGTCCAGTTTGATCTCACTCCAAACTCCTGTAACCAAAGAATTTATGTGTCATACATACAATATTAAACATTACATTTTTTATATCAGAATTGATTTTCTTACCATGAATAGCCATTACAAATATTAGACTCCGGACAATCATATTTTCCATTCTATAGTAAATTGTGGAGTTCAGTGATTTCTGATCAAAGTCTTTCTAAGATTTATAAGACTGTGTCAGTTGTCCTGTCTAAAATTATTTCACAGTTGCTGTTGGTGTGTTTATAAAGAATGAAGAGTTTGCATAGACCTCCCTCTAGAGGATTACAAAGGGAAGATAGAAGATGGTGCACTTTAACTGAATATTTGAACAACAGGAAAAAAATACAAGGCATTGTACTGTGAACATACTATTAGGAAATTAAACCTCTGTAAATAAAATGCTCTGTAATAATGCTCATCAATGCTTTGTGTTGTCCAGTCATATTTTCACTATATTTAAATATATTTCTTGCCCAGTTTTAACTTTATTCAGCATGGTCTGACAGTGCAATGAAATCAACATGAAACAGACTTCCTTTAAAGGATGATGATTTACAGTTTTGTCATTCTCTCAAACATCAACAGAAACTCTTCCTTCCTTCCTGGATATCAAATACACATCATTTTATTATTTTAAATGTGTTTCACCACATAGATTTAGTCTGTTTGCTGAAACTGAACAATGCATGTTCACTATAGGACTCACTGTCAACTGTGACTCAAAGTAGAATAATTATTTATTGTATTGTGTGATGATTGTCAGAAAGACACTATATTTCCAATATGACAATAAACTAAACTAACAAACCTGTATATAAATACTTAACATCTAAACAAACAAACTGTACTGAACATACTCAAAGCAATGAAAGTATCAATTCATTTTGATGTTGAAGCTTTTAATTTCTTATTTATTAACCTTTCTTTATATAGGTTTTACAGTGAATTTACAGGAACAACTTTCTTTAAAAGAGAAGATTTCAATTCTACTTCTCTATATTTGCAAATGAAATGAACATTTAATCAAATGACATAAAATAAAACTGAAATATTCAAATAGAGGAAGTAGTTTTTGTACGACTCTCCTGTTATTGTCTCTCACTGTGTCTGTCGGGCACAGTAATACACAGCAGAGTCTTCAGGCTGCACATTCTGTCCGTTTAGAGTCACTGTGTTACTGGAAGAGTCTAAGGTGACACTGAACTTGTTCTTCAGTGAATCTCTGATGCGTGTATCAGAACTAATCCACTCCAGTCCTTTCCCTGCAGGCTGTCTGATCCAAGCTGTGTAGTAGCTGCCCAGAGAATAAGAGACCTGACAGGTGATGGTCAGACGTTGACCTGGCTGCACAGTCACAGAGGCTGGCTGTGTCAACTGTTCACACTTTACACCTGTGGAGGAAAACATGTTGCATATTGAATCAGTGTGATAACAGTGAACAGTCAGTGTGCTGTGATCATACTGTCAGTGTCTCTGCCTCAGTGAGACTCACAGGATCCAGCAGCCAGCAGCAGCAGCAGAGCTACAGAGAACATGGTTGGTATTGAAGGTGATCTGATGGGAGCTTCTCTTCTTCTGCTGCAACTGACAGCATGATATCAAGTCTTTATAGCAGACTGTGAGGAAGTTCACTTTGCATAGAGAAGGACACTGACAGGCTATAAAAGAAGGATCAACTGTCACAGGCAAGCTTGGATTTGTCATAAACACTGTTGGGCAAATAACACAATAATGTATTACTCATTACCCTGTACTGTTTTCAAAAGTAATATTATAACTTTACTTATTACACCCTGCCAACACTAATTGGTTACACTGTGTTGTATTACTTTTTTTCTGCAGCCCACAAAATTTGTAATAAAGTCTGTTTTTGTCCTCACGAAAATAAATTAATTCATTCAATCTTTTAACCAACTTATTATTTTATTATTTGTTATTCAGAGACTTGCAATGGTTTTTACCTGGGGTTGTTATATTGCCTGTGACTGGTTATGTGCATTTATTTATTTATGTTTATATTTATTTTGACAAATATGAAAAAAAAGGATTCATTATTATTTATTCAAGCAACCAGACTGCTGTGCTGTCTGGCTGTTTTGTGAGGAAGTGAATGTTACAGTAATGTGTTTAAATGATTATAAAACAGAAATATTTCTCATAGTCAGTCCAGTGAGGATGAGTTACTGTAAGTTTTTGTACAGCGTTGCTCCTTCCTGTGTCACTGTGGCTCTTGAGCACACTAATAAACAGCAGAATCTTCAGTCTTCAGACTGTTCATCTGCAGATACACCTGCTGTCTGCTGTTGTCTCTGGAGATGGTAAACCGGCCTTGAACTGACTGAGAGTAGTAGATGTTGCAACTCCCACTGCTGATATAAACGATCCACTCCAGTCCTTTTCCAGGATCCTGTCTGACCCAGTGCATCCAATAGCTGCTAAATGTGAATCCAGAGCCTGTACAGGTCAATCTGTGAGATTATCCAGGCCTTTTAACCACTGGTTCAGATTCTGTCAGAGTCTGACCATCAACATCTGTCAAGATAAAACAAATATACAGTGGTCAGTTGCTTTAAGCTGGAAGCATTTTGAAAACAACTTCAACTAAAGATCAGTGAAGATGTTCACCTGCCCAGCAGATAGTTAACAGCAGCAGTCCTGTCCTATAGTCCATCATGTTAAACTGTGTGTCCACTGTTCTCTGTCATCCTCTCTGCAGTCAGATAAGTAGAGGTGGAAGACATCTGAGTTTTGCATTGACTCCTCCTCACAGGGAGGAGAGAGCGAGACTGGACTGGTGATATTTTGATCTTCACTTGTGTAACTCAGAGGAGATTTAACAAAAAATCAATACTTTCTGCTTTTGACTTTATTTTGTACGGTGGCCGTGAAACGTGCAAAAAAATGCAATGTGTTTACCTTGTCCGTTTTGGGCTACTGTAGAAACATGGCGGACCCAAAGCAAGGTGACCCACAGTGTGTGTAGATCAAAATATCTCATTCTAAGGCAACAAACACATAACGATTCCTTTATAAAGGTGATTATACACTAATGAAAACATACATTATATTCCATTCCTGCCAAATCTACAAATGGTATTATTTTCCTTGTTTACTCACTTGCAATGTAACATACAAATTAATTAATGTAGCTAATATTTTTAAATATTAATTAATATTATTGTTATTTGTGTTAAATTGATTGAATGAAAATAGTGTGAAGTTGAATTCAGTTATCAATTCTTCTATTAGAATGTGTTACTGGTTGGTCACATATGTTTATGGGTATTTGTGCAGGTCTGTTGGTGGTTTGTATCACTGTGGAGCCACGTACACAGTAATACACAGCTGTGTCCTCAGGCTGCACATTCTGTCCTGTTAGAGTCACCGAGCTAGTAGAAATGTGTGTTTTGTAAAGGAACTTGTTCTTCAGAGCATTGTTTTGATAAAAGTCTCCTCCACCCCACCGATGCCAAATCCATTGCACTGGTTTTCCTTCACACTGTCTGATCCAACCTGTTGCATAGCTGTTATCAGTCAAAGAATAACCAGAGACCTGACAGGTGATGGTGAAGGACTGTCCAGGCTGCACAACCATTGAGTCTGACTGGATGAGATCAATACTGTTCACACCTGTGGAAACAGAAATCAACATTATCTCCATCATTCATCTGACTATTCAGTGTTTCTAATGTGTTTATTAGTGTGAATCCACTGAAAGCTCCTCACAGGATCCAGCTGCCAGCAGCAGTATCAGAGCTACAGAGAACATGTTGATGTTGAAGCTGAACTGATGTGAGCTCTTCTGTCCTCTCACTGACACACACACACACACACACTTCACTTCCTTATTAGTAACCTTTATTTGCATATTGAATAATCTTTTATTTAAATCAGTTGAAGATGTAAACACTGTGTCGTCTAGAGAGACCAGGCAAGGTGGAGAGAATGTTTTATGTAAAAACAATATTTTTAAGAAAGAAAGATTTACTAAAAGATAACATTTGCATCTGTGCTGTTGCATTAAACTACTAATAAACTCACATTTATCTGCTCATTAAAAAATACAAATACAATAGTTACCTCATATTCCAAATAGAAATATTTTGTGTGAGTGTACCTTTGTTTTTCAACCAGTTGATCAGTGTTTTTAGTTTTTTTCTATTCCTTTTAATTTTCTATTTTTTAATTCACCAACTGATTAAATGGACTTTAATGTACGATAAAACTGGCATTCAAATCTTTTAAATTAGTTTTAAAAAATCTTTTGTTAAAACAATGTCAACAACAGTATGTTGTATCTTTCAAGATATTTAAGAAAAAATGTAAACTTGTCAAGGAACTTGAAAAACCCTGAAAAAAACAGATTGAAATAAACAATGACAAATATGATATAATTAATGACATTAATGAAATATTTAAAGAATTAATTGGGAGATTGATCAATGACTCTGAATTTTAATATTTTAAAAACTTGTACAAAGTGGTTTTATTTTCTATCAGTGACTGTCTGTAGTGGTTTCTGTATGGCTCTGTGGCTCCCTGTGTCACTGTGGCTCTCGAGCACAATAATAAACAGCAGAATCTTCAGTTGTCAGGCTGTTCATCTGCAGATACACCTGGTCCACGTTGTTGTCTCTGGAGATGGTGAAGCGATTCTGGCCTGACGTGGAATAAGCTTTAGTGCTTCCACTCGGAGCAGAAATGTAAGCAACCCACTCCAGTCCTTTTCCTTCAGCTTGTCTGATCCAGCCGATATGAGCATCATTATCTGATATTCCTGCATATGTACAGGTCAGTTTGTGGGATTCTCCCGGCCTCTTCACCACTGGTTCAGACTCAGTCAGAGTCTGACTGCAAACACCTGGAGAGAACAGCAGTTTGATCAGAACACAGCCAAACAGAAACCTTGACACAGAAAAAGAAGAGGGCAGAATTGTGTATTCACCAGAAATCAGTGATACCATCAGAAACAGTATACATGCTGTTAAAGTCATAGTGAAAATGTGTTGTGTGTCTGGATGATGGTTTGCTGTGTCTCCAGTTTGCAGTGAGCTAAATAATAAAGATGGAAGAGATCCAAATTTGCATTGACTCCTCCTCATGGTGTTGAAAAAATAAAAAGGATAACAGTGATATTTATTGACTGAAGGGATCTGATCTACTTACTGAGGGAATACTTTTTGTTGGTTGTATAAAGATATTCATTAGAGGAGTGTTTGCCCAATGTTTGCTTCTTATGTGTTTTTAAATGAGGTTTCAAGGCTGGTTGGACAAGACACAGACCATAAATGGAAACGACTGGATCCAACATTTGGTGCCAGATTCTGAGCATACAGTATGTAACATACAGACAGTATAAGCAACATATGATTTGGATCGTATCCATCTTACAAACCACTTGTATTCTTCATGGTCTCAGCTTTTCTTAGCGCACACTGAGCAAGGCTGAAA